ATATGCAGTAAAAAGAATCCTTCATTCAAGGTTTAGAAATATTCAGCCCCAGAACATATGCAAAAAGTTATTTTTTGGTTCCTGTAGAAATATTCGACATTTCTTTGGTATACTAACTTTACTAGCCCCAGAACAACATTTAGTCCTGGAGATACACAACCATTTCTCGATCTTTTGGAAAAAGCTGTCCTAACTCATAAATTTTGAAATCTGCAGGACTCATGCATTTGGTTAAGTACCTGAATATTCTTTCTAGACCAAGAGGAAAAAAATTCATGCGTAAAACGTATTTCTCTTTTCTTTAGCAAAAATGCTCTTCAGATCATGTTTTAATTTGGTTCCACGGATGCATATTTCTTTGGATTTTTAGCACGTTAAACTTAGAATTTAGATCCTGTCATTGGTAGATGAAGGTCATCTAAACATCACAGACATTCATAAAAAGAAAAACAAAAATGGAAGTATACCAGAATTGGCACATATAGTGGCTGTGATAGGAATATGACTCTCATCTACCTATAAGGAAGAAGACAATCAGAATCTTAAAACTAACTCTAAGCTTAAAGCATATCATTTAGGGGTTTTCATTCGTATCCCTGGAGTTTCTTGAATGCTGATGTGATATCTTCAAGTTATAACTTTGATTTTTGATACCTTCAAAAGTCACTTTGCGAATCTTTTTCTGTTGGCAGGGCTGATGATGCTCGCTTACCTATGAGCCGTACAGTTTCTATTCCTTCCAATCAATTGAACCTATATCGTGTGGTGATCATACTACGGCTTATTATATTGTGCTTCTTCTTCCAGTACCGTATTACCCATCCTGTTCGAGATGCATACCCATTGTGGTTAACATCTGTTATATGTGAGGTTTGGTTTGCTTTGTCATGGCTTTTAGATCAATTTCCAAAGTGGTGTCCGGTAAACCGGGAAACATATCTTGAAAGGCTTGCAATGAGGTTCGTAACACCATTATTGAGTTTACTCTTTGTATGACATTCAATGATCTGGGCGTAAATGTTGAAGTAGTATTTATTGCTTGACAGATATGACAGGGACGGCGAGCCTTCACAGTTAGCTCCTATTGATATTTTTGTTAGTACTGTGGATCCTCTGAAAGAACCTCCTCTTATTACAGCCAACACTGTGTTGTCAATTCTTGCTGTGGACTACCCTGTTGACAAAGTTTCATGCTATGTTTCTGATGACGGGTCAGCAATGTTGACGTTTGAAGCACTCTCGGAGACTTCAGAATTTGCTAGGAAGTGGGTTCCCTTCTGCAAGAAGCACAACATTGAACCTAGGGCTCCGGAGTTTTACTTTTCTCAAAAGATCGACTACTTGAAGGACAAAATCCAACCTTCTTTTGTTAAAGAGCGCCGGGCAATGAAAGTGGGTTCTGTGCACATGTGAATTATTTGCAAAAAGTAATGTCCTTTTTTTTAAAGAATGAACATTTAATAGTAAAATGACTTCATGCAGAGGGAGTATGAAGAGTTCAAAGTACGAATAAATGCTCTTGTTGCCAAGGCACAGAAAACCCCAGAAGAAGGCTGGACAATGCAAGATGGGACTCCTTGGCCTGGAAATAATTCAAGAGATCACCCTGGCATGATTCAGGTATGGTCGCCCTTCCCATATATCTTATGTTTCGTCGATGATTCCTTTATATTTTTTTCCCTTTTCAGTTTATGTTTCATCCTCCTTTCTTGGAATATAGGTCTTTTTGGGGCAAAGTGGAGGCCTTGACACAGATGGTAATGAGTTGCCTCGCCTTGTATATGTTTCCCGTGAAAAGAGGCCAGGCTTCCAACATCACAAAAAAGCTGGTGCAATGAATGCTTTGGTTTGTTTCTCCTCTTTCTTTTTTGTTAATTAATAAATTTTTTCTTGCGATGTATCTATATTCTAACTAGCTTTGTTCTATATTTTATTGGATGTGTCAGATTCGTGTATCTGCTGTTTTAACCAATGGCGCCTATCTTCTAAATGTGGATTGTGATCACTACTTCAATAACAGCAAAGCTCTTCGGGAAGCAATGTGTTTCATGATGGATCCTGCTTATGGAAAGAAGACATGTTATGTACAGTTCCCTCAACGTTTTGATGGCATTGACTTGCATGATCGATATGCCAATCGTAACATCGTCTTTTTTGATGTAAGAAATTTCATCTAATTTATATGATAATAGCTTTTACTATGATGGATTGTTTTTCTTAATTATATTGCAAATTGCAGATAAACTTGAAAGGCTTAGATGGCATCCAGGGCCCTGTCTATGTGGGGACTGGGTGCTGTTTCAATAGGCAGGCTTTATATGGTTATGATCCAGTCCTGTCGGAGGCAGACTTGGAGCCTAACATAGTTGTGAAGATTCTGCTGTGGCCTCATAGGAAGAGGCGAAGAGGAGCAAAGATTACATGATAAAAGCGAGCTGCCAAGAGGACTGAATCGACAATTCCTATTTTCAACATGGAGGACATTGCAGAGGGTATTGATGGTAGGTGTTGAACCATAAAGTAACGTAGATTCTCATTCATATCTTAAGAAGTTACAACTACTCCCCTTTATAGAGGTATACAATAATAAGAAGTTTATTGTGTAGTCAATGTGGGGCTAAACACAATTACCTAATCACCATTATTCTCTTAGTTACATTCCTAATATCTCTCAATCACTAAATCTCTAATTATACTCCTAATATATTATTCCTAATGTAACTGTAACATTATAGATCTCCATAATATATTCTTTAACACCCCCTCAAGTTAGAGTATGTATATCATACATGTCCGGCTTGTTACAAACTAGATGCGCTCACTTCTATTTGTGACATGACTTAAAATGCTGAAACCTTCTGTGTGACCTTTCTCATTGTAGTTGTTTTCATCTCTTAGCCTTTTACTTGAATGTCTTCCGCCACGAACAACCTTAACCAAAATCACCAAATGCGATACATTAATCTTCTTCACAGATCAACCTCGAAATTACTAAACAAATGATCTTCAATAGAGGTCCACCAAGCAGATGATCTTCTCTAGGGATCCACCAAACAAACGATCCTCTTCACGGATCAACCAAACAAGTGATGCTCTTCACGGATCAATCAGACCAATGATCTTCGAGATCTAACAACAAATAGTTCTTCTTTAGGGATCTGCCAAACAAATGATCCCTCTTTAGGGATCCACCAAAAGAACAAAGCCGAAAAAATAACCTCCATTGAACCAAAATCCAAACCAAATACTGATTCAATCAAAATCTTTTTTTGGTAGCTAATGGTGCACAAGGTTTCTAGAATACAAGCGGCGGTGACGGTGGTGTCGACAAGTTGAGTAGGTCGTGAACGAAGGATTCGAGGCGGCGTAAGCTATGACGAGAACATATATATCGAGGATGATTACTGCTACAAATAATGACAATTCTGATTATCAACAAGGCCATTGAAAGCAAGACGGATAAGAATTTGCGTCACTGTTCATGGTGAACAGCAACCGCGGCTAGTTCACGATGACCAAAAAGAAGAGAGGTTGTAAGGCAGAGGGAGGAGTTTGATGGTGAGAAATTGGGGGCTAGGATTTGTGAGGATCTAGGGTTTTGTGGAGGCTAGGGTTTGCGTCGCTCTGATACCATGTTGAATTATTAAATAATGTAGATTCTCATTCATATCTCAAAAGCTACAACTACTCCCTTTTATATGGGGATACAATACCAAGAAGTTTATTGTGTAGTTAATGTGGGAATAAAGACAATTAGCTAATCACAATTATTCTCTTAGTTACATTCTTAGTATCTCTCAATCACCAAATCTTTGATTTATACTCCTAATATATTATTCCTAATATAACTATAACATTATAGATCTCCATAATATATTCTTCAACAGTAGATATTGTTTTTTCACGAACTTTGCAAGTTTAATCTTTTGAAGGACTTTTTGGCTTAAATAATTCTCATTACTAGAAATTTATTAGGTGTGCATGCACGTGATAGGAAAACATTTTTTTATTAAGTATGAAAATTTATTTTATTATGTTTATAATGAGAATTTGCATTTATAGTAGGTATGGAAGGAGCGAGGTTCAGATATTTTCTAAAGAACTTTTTTGCCTTCATATTTGACCTTGATGTCTTCCTGTGTTAATTTTCTTTATAACTTAATACAAATAGTAGCATAAATATATGTAAAGGAACTTAGCTCTTTTTAATTTACGTATAATTGCTCCTTTAAAACATCATCATTTTTTTGCATCTTTTGTTAAGTTAATAAAATATAATTTTCTTAAAAAAAGGATATAGGGGCTTCAAAATTATTTTCAAGTCATTAAATAATCGAAAATGTTCTTGAAGAAGGGAAGAGGAAAGAAAGAGAAAAGAAATAAAGTGAAGAAATATTCTTGTAAAATTAAATAATCTAGATTTTCATGTCTTTAATGATCTAGAGTGTTCTTGAAGAAGGAAAAAGGAAAAGATTTCTTGTAAATTTACAGTTATACCCCTTAAATTACAAATGAAAGGGGGAATGTCCTTTCCTCCACTTTTGATTGCCCTCACAAAGTTTTTTATATAGTAGTATAGATTTAGTGCTAGTTTTTTATGTTTTCGAATTGTTTGATTCTTTTGCTCTAATATCCAAAATGGACATACATGCGCAAATATACGTACTCAAATTGCAAAGCACTTTTCCTTGCATGCAAGAGTAAAAGAAATGCTTATATGTATATTAGTGTTTTTGCATGTATGCAATTGTTTCTTTGTGCATCTCATGTTTATGTGTTTTTGCACAAGGGAGTGGAAGAAGAATTGTATTTGATCATAGTGATCCTATTTACATGTGTTTTATTGTGGATTGTAATTGTTTGACAAGTACCCTTGTATATCATGCCTACATCAGTTTGTTATATGCAATATTCGTTGCTAGCTATGTTGTGTCATGATTTGCTGCTAAACAATACATACTTTCAGGTTATGAAGATGAGAGATTACATCTAATGTCTCAAAAGAGATTAGAGAAACGTTTTGGACAGTCACCAATTTTCATTGCTTCCACCTTCATGGAGCAAGGAGGCATACCACCATCTACCAATCCAGCTTCACTGTTAAAAGAAGCTATCCATGTTATTAGCTGCGGCTATGAGGATAAATCTGAATGGGGCAAAGAGGTTAGCAATTTTTCCTCTCAATATCTAGTTTCTTTAGCAACAATCCGTTCATATAGGGTAAATTTCACAAGCCCCTCCAAACTTTTGCGGTTTTTGCACAAAACCCTCTGCAATTTATAAATCATAGAAACTCCCAACCTTGTCTCACTTAGTAACCATGACTGAAGAACACTTAAAGATGTCAAGTGTGCTACACAGCAACTTTTGGGCAGTTTCCCCCCTATCTGCTAAATATAACTTATATATAATCCTTTTCAGGTAAGCGCAGCTTAAAAATAAAAAAAAAGGGTGGGATTGACTTTTCGCTCTACCCATCCTTGACAATAACGGGAACTTTAGCACTTGGGAGTACAATTTAAAAGTTTAGGTGGCTTTTATATAATTTATAAAATTCATTGTGTTTTGTACAAACCCCCTGAAGTTTAATTGCTTTTGTGATATTTATCCATTCATATAATATGTTACCCAGCTTGTTATTTATCTATCAGATTGGCTGGATCTATGGATCTGTTACCGAGGATATTTTGACTGGGTTTAAAATGCATGCTCGAGGATGGATATCGATTTATTGCATGCCTCCTCGCCCTGCATTCAAGGGTTCAGCTCCAATTAATCTTTCAGATCGTCTAAATCAAGTGTTGCGATGGGCCTTGGGATCAATAGAGATTCTGCTCAGCAGACATTGCCCCATTTGGTATGGCTACAGTGGCAGGCTGAAGCTTCTGGAGAGGCTAGCATACATCAACACCATTGTATATCCACTCACATCCATCCCTCTGATTGCTTACTGTGTGCTTCCAGCTATCTGCCTCCTCACCGGAAAATTTATTATACCAGAGGTCAGTAACAATCCCATCCAAAAGAAAGTAGTCTCTCTTTTCAGAGAAACTCTATGTTCAGATAAATGGTTGTGCTTATGGCATACATGATATAACCGCTAATCGTTTAAGATATTGATACTGTCTGACATCAGTTATTGTTCTGAGGGATACATGCATTTACTCGTAACTGTCATAATATTTGGATGGTGGAAATGATCTGGGTTGCATATCAGGTTAATGTTATTGCCTTTACATATTTTCACTAACGAACCCATTTCATTAGCTGTGCTGTAAACATGTCATAACTCTTTCTTCCTCTCTGAAGTTTTAAGTTGCATGTAGACAGGAATTGTCTTTTGTAGATGAAGTTTTGTTTTACATGATCTGGGACAGACTTAGGTGAGCGACCCTTTTGTAGCCCAAAGTTCTCTTTGGTTGGCATAAGTCCTTCGTTAATGGTTATGTTTCGCATCTCCATCTACGCTAATGCTTCACGAGCTCACACCCAAACCAATTGTCAGTGTCTCCATGGATTGTTTTCCACCCAGGAAGGGAATCCATACCCAACTTATCTCCCCATTCCCTTATTGGGTGAAGCCAATCGCCATTACAATGATTTCATTGCAAATATCAAACTTTCCCGTCGATCAGTCTGTGTCAACATATCTGCACCATTGTCATCTGTAGGAACCTTTTCGAGAATAACTTCCTGTCTAACATGTCTCACATCTACCTCATCTCGATGTGCTTTGACTTTTGATGAAATGGTAGATTATTATCAAGGTGAATCGCACTGACTGTTGTATAACAAAGTATATCCATCCTGTGAAAAACTGAGTTCCTCCATGATCCTCTTCAGTCAAAGTAACTTCTTGCAAGCTTCTGTCGCGGCAATAAACTTTGCTTTTGTCGTTGACAAAGCAACATATTTCTGTAGCCTCGTTTGCCAAGTCATCGCTCTACCCACATATTTGATTAGATAACCTGAAGTCGATTTCCTTGTCGAAATCCCCGCCCATATCAAAATCTATATTCCCGATCAACTTTGGCTTGTCACTCCCGAAACTCAATTTCAATAATCTGAAGTGCCCCGGATATACCTCAATACCCATTCTACAACATTACAATGTTTACTTGGATTGGATAAGAATTTGCTGGCTGCACCAACTGTGTGATCTATATCTGGCATTGTTCAAATCACTGCATAGATCAAACTACCAACCACCGATGAATAAGGCACGCTACTCATGTTCTCCTTCTCATCAGTTGATGGACGCTGATCAAGACATAATCTGAAGTGTGTGGCAGGAGGAGTACTCACATTTCGAACTATTCATCCAGAACCTATGAAGCACTTTCTTGATGTACTATTCCTGGGGCAATCATAGCATTTTGATCAATCTATCCTGACTGATTCTCATGCCGAGAATAGTCTGCACTGCTCTTTCATTGCAAAAGATTTCCCATATCTTTTTTCAACCAGGTGACTCTTGTAGCATTCTGACCAATAATCAACATGCCATTGACTTACAATAAAGAGGATAATTAAAAAGAGATCTACTGTGTTAAAAAGATTACAATCCTAGTTCTCTCATACACCTCATAAATCACGGACAAAGCAATAGCCCCAACCCCTTTAAAAAGATGGAACAATGTTACTGTTGAAGAACTGATGAAACTGTCACGAAGAGCTACTGTCAATAGCTTTCTTTCTCCTCTCTTTTCTCTTTGTTCTCGGTGGTCAATCTGTTGATATTAACCTTAGGGTTTTATCTCCTAAAATATCCATATGTATAGTGTTTCCAAAACCCAACCCGGCCCAGAATCCTACAGCAAACAGAGTTCTTCAAAACTGTAGAAATCCGCTTGAGCGGTCTGATTGGTTGGTCAGACCGGCCCACAATCCCTGTCGGTTCACCGGTCAGTTGGACCCGGCGGTGGCACCGACCGCCTGGCTACAAACAGCCCCACGCCTGAAGTCTTCCGTTGACGCCTGTTTCGCTCTGTTTCGCTCTGTTTCACACCCAAATCTCCGTCAATGCAACACGAGTTCACACTTGAACCAATCGTCAGTAAGAAGGGAATCCACACCCAATAGGCTGCCCCTGCTCGCCCCACCTTAACTCATTTCTGATGCCTGATGTCAAGTAGGGTCAGCTGTTCTAAACGGTTCTGATAATTGTGCCATTTTGTACATCATCAGAGTATGTTTCAGGTTGGTCAAGTGACCCACCTGAAAGTTAGGAAAATCATTATATGGTAATAAGTTTTAATGCACTTTACACCCCACATTAAGTATGTGTATCACCTTGCATTTTGTTTAAATGTCTCACCCAAAATTTCCTTTCTCATCGTTGTGTTATGTCATACTTATCATGCACTTCCATATCATATAATGTGCTATACTGGTATTTAATCCATAACCAATTAATTTGCAGTTGTCTCATCTAAATTAAATCATAATCACTTCAAAGAAAACCAAGTTAAAATTTTTTCTATTATTTTAAAAATCAAGATATTGTTGGGGCACCCTTCCCCAGCAAGAAGACCATGGAATATTGAGCATAAAAAGCAAAAAATTATTCAATATTCTTAAAAATCTTCTTCTATACAGTTTCCAAAATCAACCTTGACTCTTTCCTTGATTAATTCCACAGTTTTTCTCTCAACTTCTACTGAAATTTTAGACAAAAGTACTTTAATTTATTTAAATATTTCTCAATGTTTTTTCGAGTTGATAACACTCTCATACAAAATTTAGTATACATAAAAGCTGTAGGGTCCTAGTTAATTATTTTCTAATTAAGCATATGCTAATTGTGCCTAATCTAAATGAAAATCCTGGATCAGCCCTGTACATCATATATATCTTCGAAATTACCCTCATAGAATTCAAGGGTTGACACACGCACACACACAAGGGTAGTACTTTAGACCTTGTATCCCAACTTTAATGCCGACATTAATAGTTAATGGTATTTTCTATACTTTTGAAAATTCATGGTAGAATTTGTGAAACTCACCCTAAGTCTTACGTACATAGTTAACATTTTAAAAAAATTTGCAGATAAGCAACTACGCTGGCATATGGTTCATAATGCTTTTCATCTCCATCTTTGCCACTGGAATCTTGGAGCTCCAGTGGAGCGGTGTAGGCATCGAAGACTGGTGGAGGAATGAACAGTTCTGGGTGATCGGAGGCACATCAGCCCATCTATTCGCTGTGTTCCAAGGACTCTTAAAAGTCCTTGCTGGAATAGATACCAACTTCACTGTCACATCCAAATCCTCAGACGAAGACGGAGATTTCGCAGAGCTCTACGTGTTCAAATGGACCACCCTCTTGATACCACCAACTACCGTTCTCGTTGTCAACATTGTAGGAATTGTTGCAGGGGTTTCTTATGCAATTAACAGTGGTTATCAATCTTGGGGTCCGCTATTTGGAAAGCTCTTCTTCTCAATTTGGGTCATTGTACATCTTTATCCATTTCTTAAGGGTTTGCTCGGGCGGCAGAATAGGACGCCGACGATTGTTATTGTGTGGTCGATACTTCTCGCATCGATATTCTCGCTTTTGTGGGTTCGGATCGATCCTTTTACTTCTCCTGCCCAGAAAGCTGCAGCAGCTGGACAATGTGGAATCAATTGCTAAGCAAATGTGAATTAGAATGTGCTGCTATTTAATCATTTGTTTGATGTTGTGCAGCTTTAAGAATAAACATTTTGTCGGAGGTATATGATGTAAATTATGTAAGAGGCGATTACATGATATATGCAGATTATGCAGTGATTTGCTGTCTGATATGTGTTAGCTGTGACGTATGCTGTTGAAATCAGAATGTATACAAATGATTGGGCTTCGGATGTTGATTTATGTACAAATAACTCGCTAAAATAAGCACCATCGTTCTGTTCTGATTATGTCAAAATCTGTAGACATGTTTGCCTGATGTTGAAAAAGTTGTTAAACGCTTGGTGTTTACGTAAATATTTGCTTCAAAATCCCATCATATACTGATTGTATCCCTTTAATTGGGAAGTTGACAAATAAGGAGTTGTACTAAATCTCTCTCTCCCCTAAACATAAATTCCGAAGTATATTCTTTGCATCATATCTTAATATGTGCTTGCTTTGTCCTGCTTCCTGAATGAGAACGCTTGAAGTTCGCTACTCGCCCTGTGTCATGTGTATTTTTGATTCATTGTCTTTATCAGGAACGATGTCTTCTAGTTCAAAAGAAAATGACGGCGGAAAAACTGAGTCATGTCATGTGGTGTTTCTTTATTACCAACATAGGCGACTTTATTTGCAAACATGAGCTACAACATGAGAATAACAATTGAAAATAATTTAAATACAATTATGAGAAGTAAGATGAGAAAATATCCGATCTTTGATAATGTATGTGTACCTAAATGATGTCAGGCCTTAAATCTTTACATGAATCTCAAAATCCTGATATTTATTTAGTGCACATTTAATGTCATGATCCAATGATTGACATTTATTTGGGGCACATTTAATATCATAAGCTCAGATGCACTTGATACTTTTTTGAAGATGAGACGTCTACGACTTGGAAGAGAAACGCACTTTTTTGAAGATGAGACGTCTACGACTTAGAAGAGAAATGCACGGCAATGTTAAATCTGACAAGAAGGTACCCACTCCCAACCTTTTTCTTCTTTCATGTAGACAATGTTCACAGCGCCATCTCACTTCACCTTGACATAATTTTGATCGTCGACCCCCACATCCTTTAGCACCAGCCCTGCTTGCTTCAGGCTGTCGACGATGCTTTGTCCCCTGCTCATCACTGCACTTACCAGCTCGCGCGTCTCCTAACGTATCCAACACAGTATCAGATTGAACCTCGGTATATTGAAGCCCTCAGGCCACAGCACACAACAAAGGAAACACTTCTTCACCTTATCATTGAATTTGTCCTAGCTTATCTTCAGCAATTTCGATAGTGATACTTTGCCCTCTTCGCCGATCTTCTCCTGAAAGCAGGGATGAAAGTCCATCAAATAATTATCAAACAGTTTGATATTTTACTCCACTAAATATTCAAATTTGGTTTGCTAGCTTATTTAAGAGAATCAAATAATTTTCAATGTTCAAATGCTAAACGAATCATTTCATATATTACATATTTACACTTATTTGCTTATTAAATATTCTTTTTTTTTTTTGAAATATTTTGATATTCGATAAATATTTGAATGATCGATACTCATATCCACAAGTTTAGATTCGAAAATTTTAAACGAATGCAAATATGAGCTTACTCAATACCTGAAACTAGTTAACTTGGTCGTCCCAACCATAGTATATCTTGCAACTCGACGTGGAATGCGCCACCACGACGAGCGCTAGCGGCAGCCCG